ATCGAACATGTTTTAATTATTGGGGTTTTTTTAATATGAATTATTGGGGGTATAAGAATTGAAAACCTAATATTTACTCGAGTACAACCAAATTTTTCGCAACGGGAGCCAAATCGTATCCAGCTTATACAGGAAGGAATCAAATACATTAGTTATTTTTTATACGGAATCAATAAATTCAAGTTCAAAAAAAAAAAAAAAGAATCAATAAATTGGTCATCTTTCTCTATCTTCACTTTAATTTTTCTTTAATTTATTTGTCGGATGTACGGAATGACAAATTAGTGAACAAGAAAAATGGGGTTTGGAGTTTGGACTAAGGAGAGGAAGGAAGATTCAAAGAAGTTCACGCATTCAAAGAAAGCAACATTGATTACGGTATATCTTACGTACGATTGCGACATTCATATATACTGCCCGTCCCTGACTCAGATTCAGACAAATCTCCTCCTCCTTTCATATTCAAAATGCATAGGGCCAACCACTATTTTCGACCCACGGCCACAACTCTTTTTGTGGTGGTATTTAAAAGTTTAAAGTTTAGGTTCTGACTATCTCTTTTTGTTTTTTATCAATTGTATTAATTTTTTTCAATAAAATAATATTATAGGGATTAATTTTTTATATTATTTTTTATATAATTTTTATAATATTAAATATCACAAATTATATATATAAATTAATTATTAAATAATACATCTAATTATATAAAAAACTAATATAAAAAATTATTTTAAAATTGTTTTTTTTTTTAATCCAATCAAATCAAATCTATAGGTTCCTTACCGACAGCGATCTCTCATATCATTTTATGTGGCTGTCGTTCTTTGTTAGGTAAATGGTTGCTCGCTTGGTTAGGTCTTAACTCTATATCTTACGCTAGGAGATACATTAAGGTGTGTATAATTTAATGGATTTTTTAATTTAGGTCTTAAATATATATAAATTTAAAAAGTAATTAATGTATTTTTTAATTATTAAATTATATAAAAAATAAAATTTAACTTTAATTTTAATAATTAACTAATAAAATTGAGATACATGACACTAATTTAAAATTAAGACCAATTTTTTTATTTTTTAATATGATTTCATGCTTAAAATGTATATTAATTATATTTTTAACTTGTATTTTAAGGATATAATTTTAAAAAATTCTAATTTAATTAATTTTAGCAATTTATAGTATTTTTTAAATAATTAATTAGAGTATTTGAAGATATTAGTATATGAATTGATTTTAAATTATAAAATAATAAATATTAATTACTTTATATTTGTTATTATTATAATTTATAACTATCAATTATTTTTAATAGTTATATTAAGAGTAATAATAGAAAAGACAAAATTTTGAGACAAAAATATAAGATTAATAACATGGTATAAATTACATTATTAAATTAGTTGATACAAATAATACATAAGTTTAAAAAACAAAAAGAAGTAATCATTAAATAATATATGGTTTATTTTTTAATATTTTAAATGATTATTGGTCTTAGATTTTAGTCTCATTTATTATTATTTTAAATTAAATAGAGTCTAAATATTATTTAGTTGTTTATTTTTAGTAGACTTAATTTTGATCTAATAAAATAAA